CATATATTGAATTCGAACCTCAGTGTTAACATGATCATTGAAATACAGGTACACTCATTACCTAAGTTGAAAATAGAGCAAAACTACATCCGAAACTCCACTATCAGCTATAAACCTCTTCTTTGGGAGATCAAATGATCTGTAGAATAGGGTTCTTGAAGTAAAGCAAGGAGAATTTCCACTGTTTCATGACCCAAGAAAGTAATCAGGAAAGAGATAAAAGTGACTTAAAATGATGGAACTTACTCACTATACTTTTTAGTTTCACATGAGCGTTTAATGCGAATATTTTCATTTGATGCTAACAATGTCTTTAATTAAATACAACTCATGAGAATATGTAGATATTTATTATGATTATAGGATGAAATGTTCATCAATAATCAGTTCATGTACATGGAAAATTTCAATTCCTTAGTAAATATAAAGAAATCATCTTAATTCAGTCATGAATCGTTGCATATAGATCCATAAACTAAATGCTGAAATACAAAATACTTATCCAAATGGATATCAAAGTTTTACATATAGAAACGATAGTTTTATATGTTAAGCGGAGCATTTTACTGTGTCTAATACAATAGATACTTTATTAAAACAATTTATTAGTTTAGTAAGCATTTTACATTCAGTGGAATCGATATTAGACAAAAGCTTCATTTTTAATGGCCCCCGATTTGACACCGGTTTGAACGAATGATCGAGCATATGATCAGGTTTGTGTGACAGCGGTGATAAAGAGTTAAATACGGCTTTAAGGACGAATTTATTTCATGCAATCATGCAAACAAGCAGAGATGAGAGTGAAAAGCATACAAACAAAGCGAAGCGAAATAGGGTTGGCTTATTTGCCTCCTACAAGTCACTATGCTTTGCTTGTACGCCTTTCATTCTTATTTCTACCAGCGTGAACAATTGCGTGGAATAACTACGAATTTCAAATTGAAATAAATACATTAAACAATTCAAATTTTTATGGCAAATACTAACCAGAGGTCTCTGTGAGGCCGCCAGCCACATTCTTGGCGCATCCCAAAATGACCGTAATTTCACTGGTAGAGTATTCTAAGAACAACATAGGATTATACTGAGTTAATTCACCTCCAGAAATGCGAATTCAAACTGAATGGAACTGTTACTGGATAAGAAGCAGAATTTCGTAAAATAATCCAATTCCTAGACTGTTATAAAAGTAATAACCCAACATACATGATTCAGATCAGCAATTCCATAAAATATTTCAGAATTGCAGTTACTCAGGCAGATTATCAAAACAGTTGAGTATATGATGAATAAATATTTCAGCATTGTTGAAAGTGTGATTTACTCCACTTCAGCTGTATAACCGTCACGAAAACTGTGTATCTAATCAAAATTTGAATAAACATAAAAAATTATGGCCGACGTAATTCATCTCAGTGTGTCTGTTTTACAATATTTTTGGAAATGAATGTCTTTAGGTAGATGTAACCAAAAATCCGAAACTGTACCAATACAGCAAGAAGCGAGCGCAAAGAAGTTAATTAATTTATACCAGTTTGTGAAAACGATATTTGATATCCAATATCTTTTTCACGAACTAGAATAAATTGACTAATTTCTTTGTACTCGGTTCTTGTAGTTTTGGTACAGTTCCAGGCATTTGGTAATGAAGTGACGAGGGGTAAAGATTCGATTAAGCAATCTCGAACTGGTATGTGTGTACAAAAAAGCCTACTGTTTTAGATAAAATGATACTGAATTCAAATTTTGCCGCAATAACTAAAACATTTTTTGAAACATGCGCTGTTAACAACGAAGGTCCAATATCTCACATATTTTTCTCGAGTTAGTATAAACCAATTGATTTATTTGCACTCGATTCTTGTTCTTTCAGAACGGTTCCAGGAGTCTCGTACTGTTCAATGAATGGGGGTCGTGCCACTCGACTGTTCAATTCTAGTCAGTTTGCAGTTTTTTGTTTGTACTGAAGTGAATCAATACGTTTTTTTCAGGGCTGTAGGGTTTCTGGATACAAGCAGCTATCATGTTACCATACCGGAGATCAGTTAGTTGCATAATGGAGCGTAATAAGAAGAACGTTTTAGTGCTAATAAGAGTAATATTTCAGGACGAAGTAACTAATGGATAATGTAATTTATTAATTGGTAGTGAAGATTGTGCAAGAGGAGTGAAATGTAAGCAAGGGAGAGGAAACAGAGATTATAGGCGAGATAGATAAGCTAGTGATCTGAAGAGATGGCAGTTAAGAGGACTAGCAAGTTTCAAGGCATGCATCAGGTACAGCTTGCCCACGAGGGAGATAGCAATCCGTATGTTAGTACGTGTCAAATCTACTATTTTGGTGCGAACCGAATATTTAATTTGTTTACGTTATTGTGAGTTTAAATATTGCTCAGAGACTTTGTTGCCTTTCAGTGGTAGATATCCGGAAAATTTTGGGATTAAAATTCTTTTGTTAATGACTCAAGGATAACTTTTCATAAAATTTTTTTCTACTTATATTTCATTTGGCTGAATTTTCTGTGATTTTCTAACAAACGATGTACCGTAAGTTTAATTTCACTTCGGTTCTTTATAATTCATTCTAGGGCCAAGCGTGCATGATTACTTTCTTACGTCAGGGAATCGTTTCATTCGATAGTAAGACCAATAGATTTCAATGAAAGTTTGTGCTGATCAAATTATAATACATGGTATCTGAACACTTGGCCGAACATGGATTTCCATTCATCAACACACAGGCCATAACTGTCCCGACTGTAGATCAGTCTTCTCTCCAGCCGGACTCCTTAGGTTGACTATTTCGACCGAAAAAGAGTCGCTAACAAATAAACGTGATGGTATGACGAATTTGTGAACAGTCAAAGGGTTTCATCGAAGTCATCAAAAAGGACTGGTGCACTTATAATCGACTAATCGAAATTTCTGTGATGTAGTTGTGGTCGATGCTGCACCTGGTGAAAAGACAAATAGTAAGATAAACAAATATATCTAAAGGACGACCTTATATTTTTGACTTTTTTACTACTCTAAGTAGCCCTTGGATGTTGAAGGTAACCATGCAGCAAAAAGCATTCACGGCTTCTGACAATATCAAAACGTTTACACAGTCTCTTGGAAGCAAGCAATCTAGGAAACGCTTTGATTACTAGCTTGTCTTCTCCCATTTATTATTTTCCAGCCCGAATGGATAAGACTTGAGCAACTGGTTTCAGCAGGAAGTCCAACTAAACTTGACTTCAAGGTAACTTAAAGGAGAACATTTACTGAATTTGGATTATAGTGACTGAAATGCGTAAAATGTGGTTACGAATCCTGACTTACATCAACTGTGTAAGATGTTCAAAGAGAAGTTAAATAACAACACTGTCCGAAAAAAAGTGGTGAAGGAATTTTAGTGTCTTCTTCTTATTTCATCCAGTTTAAAGCCATTCAGTCATTAAGTGCTTCGCTTCAACTAACACGTTTTTAGAATCTAATGACACTAAAACTCTACGGTAAAACCTATTTAAAAATTCAGTAACATCTGAGTGAAATAGTGATTGGTATTTATAAACTTACGTGTACGATGTTCTGAACAGGACTGATATAAGGAATAATGAATGTAATATCAGTGCAGTAACCATACTAAGTGAAGGTATGTACATAAAATTAAAATACATCAATGCATTTTAACCCACTAAGGAGTCAATTAGTTTTTCAAGTAACTTAAATATGATGTTTTATAGAATTCAGATATTCTTCTTTAGATGGAATTAGATAAAAAATGAACGTAAAACAGTTTTTAACACATTTAGTCAATGGTACTGGATGTTATAATCATCTAGTTGATGTATTTATGGTATATATGTCTAACGTGCTGACTGTTTCACTATTTCTAGAAACTACAAAGTTTTTATGTTTTTACAGCGGATCGTAATAAAATTCATGACGCACATGCGTTTGCATGTTGCCATCGGAAAAACTGGCAGTAGAAATAGACATGTGTCCGACAGTTAGTGACCTACTTCCGTGATACTGATGATTGTAAACTAGGTTGAAGACATGCGTGAGGTATAACTGGTTCACGCGGAATACGTATTTTTAGAGCCATCTACTGAGGTTCAGTGATCTCTTTGGTTTGGAGAGGATTTCAAGTTAAGTCAACTTTTGATGAGGAAAAGTGGTCCCGTGTCTGGCTGCTTGCCCTTTCACGTGCAGCTTTCTCAAAGGTTAACCTAAAGGGGTTGGTGGTGCCTTTTTGGCAAGATGCGCATGTTGCGATGATTCTGCGCATATAATATGTTTCACGCCATTATCAGACCACCTCAGATTCACCTACAACTAAGTGAGAAGCACAGTTGAACCCACTTCGCTTCTTATGTATTTTCAGGTTTTCGCATCATCTGCTTAGATTAGTGCCGCCGATCTGATTTCATCTAACACGTCACTAATACACATCAGAAAGTGAAGTGGACCTGCGAAACTCCTGATGTTGAGACCCGCCAACTCGCATGTGCTCCCGATGAGAAAATAGTCTTCTGCGTAGTTTCTAAGCCAAGATGGAAGTAGATCAATAAAGTCCATCTTCGAAACCCTTGCAATTCAGAGTAGTGAGACAAAAGCGTTAGGGAAAACGACATTAAGTTTTAGTATTACTATAGACTTGTAGGTACATGGTTTGAAAGGTCGTTGAAGTTCGCTTTAAAGATATCAGCCACCTCTAAGTTAGTAAGATCTTCATCAGTTGCATTTTTTAGGGGATGGACACCCTGGTTCGTAGATTTTCATTTAGTTATAAATCTAAACAGATATTTTGGGTTTGCTTATATTTTGACAGTTGGCCTCGTCTGGGAGTGTCTACTGTCACTTCAAAATTTGGCACCACATCTGTTTTTCAATGCCAAGTAAAAACTGCTTGTGCCAGACTCTCTTTTCGCTTGTAACTAGCATACAGTTCTTCGCTGGATCCATGTTCTTTCCTTCCTCAGTGTGTGATGTACTTGAGTTATATTCTATAGGACGGTATTCTCAATGATGTCTCGCGCTATTTGCCAGTGGTCCTCTACTATTAGCCTTCACCATTCCCGTGGCCGTCTAGTGTGTGGACGTCTTGCCTCCCTGATCGTATAATGGTTCCTCGTGTAGCATAGTAGGGCTCCTTTCTTCCTGACTGAGTATTTTGTTTATGCATCATGGCCTCTAGTTCCTTTTGATACGTGTGCATACGAATCCTCGACCAAGAACAGATCATTTGTTAAAAAACAATCTAATTTTGAGTGTTTTAATCCCCGTCTAGTGACATTTCAAACAAGATCAGTCAAACTGACAAGTTACGATCAAATCCAGGGAGTGGTGTTGGTGTTGAACTAACGTCAGTGTTATCCCTTCAAATCGGTAAGTTGGGTGTTCTGTGGTTTCACGTCCTTGAAAGTGCTTTTAATAATTAGAACCGTTATACCTCCGGTTTACCGTATCTCATCTCCCAGGAAGAGTGTCATGCCTTGCAAGCCTACCTCCTTGTCTACAATATAGGGAGGAAAGCCATAATTTGATTATGCTCTCACGATCAGTCTGAGAGCACATACTTCTGATCTCTTCTTGCTTACTTCTCGGTCGCATCATCCTTCTATAGAGGCAAATTGTGGTTTGTCTCATCACCTGGTGCGCCTCTGCAACAGCATCCGTTCTTGGATTTCCAGACAAGTTTATCAGACAGAGTTGGTGATTTTCGTAGGAACTGAACACTGCATTTGTTCTTCTTCTTCGGCAAAACCATGACATTTGCGTCCTGTACCATGGGTTGTCGACCAAGGTCAACCGACGTTGATGTCTGGATTATTTAGCTTCCCCGATTGCCTCTCATAACATCCAATGTGACACAAGACATTGAAACATTGTGTAAAATTAGGGTATTTCGTCTAGCTTCTCTGTCTACAATCTGTAGCCGTTTTGAAGCTATGGTGTTGCTGCATCTCTTTCTCATTCTAACCCAGTGCATCTAACAATTAACAGATACTGGGGAGTTTACAGCATTCAGTAGTTACAATGGTCCATTAGCTCGGGTTGCGTCTACCTTCGCCGCCTGTCTGATCGGCTGTTTGCTGGTTGGATCCGGCCTACTTATGGGCTTGGCAGGTTAATTTTAGGTGGGATCACTGGCTTTGACGTCCTTAGTATTTTTATCACAATCACTTTGCACTGTGGACAAACATACCAGAACCCTGAACAGGAATGACTTAACAAGAACCCTTATTACTGTATCAATACTGCACTGTCGAAGTAACAGTGAAACCATGCACTGAAGTAGCTACATTCAAATACAGAGTCACTGGTTTTAAACTTTCGTCGAGCAGGTAATACAATTATCCTTGTGTGCTTTCTGAACTGTAGATTGTGTCATCTGAGTCTTAGAACACCTTTTTCTTCTATTCCTATTTAGCTTACTGGTCTTACTGGAAGTCAGAATCTGAGAGTATCGTTCCGGTTTCTTTTCTGAAGACCAAGAGGGGTGTGTTTCGGTAGGATGATCCGAGTTATACACATTACTCCAAGGTTTACTATCAATTGATGGTTTAAGCTTCTTCAAAATTATTTTGTTGGAGACTAGGATTTTTGACTAACTACTAACTTCGAGATTCATACTTCTAATCGTTTTCCCAGTTGTTATAGTGCAATGATTATAATAATGATCAAATGTATTTTGTAACAAATGGTAGCAGTGTCATTGCTGTACACGTCACAAAATTGATTTAGAAGTAGATAATGAGATAATTTAAGGAGGAAAATGAGCATGATTCAAGTGTTGAAAGAAACGAGTCATGTTAAATAGAGTCGATATATACTACGCAGGTTTCAAGCTGTACGAAACAGAATTATGGTGCATATTTGCTAAGAGCTCAAGTAGAAAATGGTTACCGAAATAAACCTCTAACAATCAGTCACATTTCACTACTAAATCAGATCAATACAGTCGATGAATATACTTTGAAAATGAATAATATCAGCCAATATTAGTTTTGAAGAATCACAAATGCGTATAATGAAGATGGTTATGATTGGGGAAAAAGTACGGTTGGTTGTAGTCAGAAACGGAGGAAAGTGAGACTTTCAAACGGTACATCTAGGGACAGAAAAATGTTTCACATCAAATCATGCAGGGATCTGATGATGATGATGTTTGACCAGTTCATGTAAGCTTGTTTGCATTCTTTAAAAGTGTTTAAACCAATGTCGTTGTCAAATATTTACAAAAGTATTTGTTCTAGAGAGTTGCTTATCATTATAGATGAAACATCATCCCTTCATTTTGTTCATGTATCTGTTATCTTGAATGCATAACTCGTCAAATTTCCGAAGCACAAAATATATCCAGAAGGAATGGAGAGTTTTTTGACCAACCAGTGTCGTCTTCAGCATCCTACTTCGATGCGATCTGCAACAACTTTCAATGAGTAACACAAATGTAATGAACTCATCATTTAACCTAAGGCTTATACCTTCAATCATGCATGAAATTAATGATAACCGCTGGTTGTATTATATGACTGGGTAGTATTAAAATATAAACTATGACCAATCAGTTGTTAAAACTTTAACAAATCATTAACCAAGCTAACTTTCAATCGAAACATGAAATTTGAATACTATCCAAACCTCCGCTTGATTTCCTACTATACACACATAAAATATCTGGTAATATTCAATGTTTGCACAGAACACTCTACTCTAGATTATTCCATCCTTATTTAGTTGGTTTTCCTCTATACTGTTTCATGTTTAGTGGTGACCGAGTCGAGATTGACTATGATAACCACTAAATACTAATTACTATCCGGTCATAATGAATACAAATAAATACAGGGTAAAGAATATATTTGAAGGAGAAAGTAGGCGACATAACGAGCAACATCTTATGAATGATGGCAGCAACGCAAAACAGAAAGTTGCTCGTAATTGTTTTCAGTACAGTTAAACACAAGGAGTACAACAAATCAACCCTTAAGTACAATAATAAAATTTTCCGTTTCACCAATTGCATTCGCTTTGTAAAAGTATTCCACAACACATATATAATAATATAATAACAGATTTAATGATTCCTGTGCTTACTCATGCTCTGATGAAGAAAACGAATTAATCAACAATTATATACACTCGGATGTTTGGTATGATATGTCGTTGAAGGTAAGACGTCATTAATTGGTGAGTAAAGATAAACTTAACTACACTAAAAATTAGAGACTGTTTTAGACAGAACTATTTTACCACGTTGTGCTCGACTTGTGTGAATGAGGCACATCTGCAGTTGTTCTGTTTGTTAATAAATTTTCAGTTTGAACTTATTTGATTCGTGATATGTTTTTGAATATTCTTATCATGTACATAAAGTGATCAGGTATCTAGTGTTTGGTCCAAATGGTAAGACTGTAGGGATTTCACTTTTACGAAGAAAACACGATTGGTTAATTAGAAACATTCATAATTATAACCAATAGTATCTGTTGACGTTTTACTGAACTTCTTGTTTATACGCACTTCTGTAACGAACACTCTTTCCAAGTTTTAGAAGTTCGAGTCGAGGATGACTTTCAACATTTCTACAAACCAATAACGTTCTAGTAATTACGCATTATCTCGTCGTGAATCAATAATAGGGAAGAAGCGTTTAGTGAGAAAGTCAAGATACCAGGTTGACTATGATTACCACAAAATGTTCCATACGGTCACGTCACGTATATCAAAATAAATCCATGTACCAAGATTTTATTGAAGGAGACAGTAGGCATTACATCGGGAACAGGAAATACGGAAAAATGGCAGCAACGCGAAGAGAACGTTGCGCGCAAGAAGTAGAAGAAGTGTTTTTGGTACAGTTAAACAAAACGAGTACAATAATGTTTATTTTTCACAAATCATATTTTTTTCGTAGAAGCGTTCCATTAAAAGCGATAGTCCAGATGAATGAGTATACATGCTAGCGATTTCGTGGGATCAAAAGAATGCCGAAATCGTGGGCGAAAGGGTACGGAGCAGCAGAAACAAGATGGTGATCAAGCAACAGGAAAGTGTTATACAAACGTATGAACAAATAAAAAGTTCAATAAAACGTCC